GGAAACGAATTTGGCGGTTTTTTCAAATATCAAGCTAAAATCAAATATACTTAGCATATGGTAAGGCAACTTCTTGGCCCACTTGTTGAATTTCCTTGAATAAAAACTAGCAACAATTATTTGTTGTATTTATCGTTTCAAAATTTGTATCTAAACCTTTATTGTTTTCTTTTTTTTTTCTGCAGTTTTTCAATAAAACAATTGCGAATTCGCCATCAAATAATGCCATTATTAATTCCCATGAAAATTCATCAATATTATTGATTTCATACAGAATTTATGGCCTGTCCGAGCGCAAAAACTCAACAAATCGTGAATATCGAAGATGAAACAAATTTTCGAAATCAGTTTCCAAACGAAAGTGAAAATGTTTCAGTTGCAGCAAATGTTAATTAGAGACAAGTACAAAAAAATGTTAACAGATTCTGTTATCGTTTTTGTTTCTAATTACAAACTAAAACTAATATCTGCAGCAAGTTTCTCAAGCACTTGTGTCTAGTTTGTTAGCATTTTCATGCACGCTTTTCACGCTTTTCACTATATTGTAGATTTTTCTCTCATTCACTTTTAAGTTTTTCTTTTGTATGTATATCTAGGTACATGTTAGTGTCCTTGCATAGGCTGTTTTCTTCATCTATATATATGTTTTTTTTTTTCTTTAATTATTTAGCATTTGTTTTTTTGGTTTTTATTCGATTTTCATTTAATTTCATTTTGCATGCTGGCAACAACAACTAGGCGCAGTTTTCCCTTCTCCTACTCCTCTGTCTTATGCTTCTTCCTCTTCTTCTCTTTGTTTATATTATTTTTCGTATATGCATTGCTCTCTTTTTCTATTGCCGCAAGCAGTTTTCGTTTTTTTTCTCATTTTGTTATTAGTTTTTTTTTTTACTAATACAAACGCTTTACAAATCTTTAGCTCTAAATTATGTGTAGCTTTAGCTTTAGCCATTTAATTTATGTTTTTCTTTAATTTTACTTTTTCTTTCTTCTTTTTTTTTTTGGTATTGTATTCCATATAAAATTATTTGCACACGTTTTCATCGCAAAATTCTCAAAATATAAGTAAAGGCTCTAAAACGCATGTGTGTAAGTGTGTGTGTGTGTGTGTGTGTGTGTGTGTGTGTGTGTGTGTGTGTATCTTCTGTAGTGTTGTGTGTGTGTGTTGTTTAAATCTTTTGTTTAATCTGGAGACTTTTAGCTTTCGTTTTTTTTTTTTGTTTGCAACAACTAACAATTTATTTTTAAATTTATTTTTTTTTTTGTATTTTTAGTACATAATTTCCTGGATTTTCACTACATTTTACATGCGTTTTCTGCTTCTGGATTTTATGTTTATTGAGTTTAAAATTCAACAACGTTTTGTCTTTAATAATATGTAAGAATATACATATTATTACATATATATATATAGATATATATATCTATATAAGTTGTATGTGTATATGTATATAATATTATAGATGTATATTTATTATAATATATATGTATATAGCATTTAATATGTTCGCATTGCCGACCTCCGCCCTCGACTCTCTGTCTCTGTCCCTTTCCCCTTGCCTAGGCCTATATCTTCTAGATAGACATGGACACGGAGCATGTATCTAGTTTTCGCTCGATTTTGCTTTGCACTGCAACAATTTGTGTGTTTAGTTACTAAATTTTAACCCTGCCTACAATTACGTTGCGCAACAGCTCCATTGCTCTATATGTGGCATATACTATCTGGTAGTATATGCTAAGTATTGTATATATATATAAGTATATACCTATAAAAAATCATCAGCTACCGTATTGAATTTATCTACAAAAATGTACCACAACTAATTTGGTAATTATAATTAATAACCGTTTCGTATTGTATTGTATATATTAGATATATATATATATATCAGATATATATATATATATATATATATATATATATATATATGTATTGTATATGTGACATAATTTCGTTTACGACAACAAAAAAATCTTGTTTTTACTTTCAGTTTTATCGTCTTGTGTTTGTTGCTAAAGTCTACAATTTGTTACGGAACATTCTTCTATATCAGAAATATTAATATATATATATATTAAATATAAAAAATAAATAAATAAACCCAATTTTCCAACACTAACGAAATCAACCTGAATCCTACAACTCGGCTTAGTTTTTAACTAATTTTCCCATTTTCTTTATAATTTTCTGAACTGGAGCTCGCTTTCGGGCTGTGCGAGGCGTCTAAACAGTGCCGCCCAAAAGTATGCTGCCAAGTGGCAGAAAAAAAATGGGAAAATAAGGTTTGCAACGTTTTTTTTTCCCGTCTCTCGATCAAAGAATAAGTACTAGAAAAATATAACTGAAAGGCAACTACAAACTACGCAAAATACTAAATAACTAGTTAAATATATATCTATATATATAATTTTGTGTGTGGGTTGGTCACACTCACACGCCAGCTCGCAATTTTCACTATTTTTCACCTCTATGCGCATTTTGTATCTGAGACATAAATATCTTTATATAAATATATTACGATTTCTTGTTGTTTGCTATCGATATACTTAATTGAATTTATCGTACAAATATGTAGCAATTGCTTAGTTTGTGAAGTTAATCGGGCTAAATACACTACTATAGTTATCGTTATCGTTATCGGTATCGTTATCGTTCACAAAACAACCGAAGCTCAAAACTTTGAATCATTTTTCGAAGGATACGAGCAACTATTTCATTTATAGTTTCCGTAATTTCTCTCTAGGTGGTTTCTTAGCAGTGCAAAAGGCTTTTAAGGTTAGTTTTAATAATTAGTGGGGGGGAGTATTTGTTGCTGTTGTTTGTTTTTCTTGTTGTCATGATTGCGGAAAACCAGGAATTGTATAAATCGTTTGTTATGGAAGTTTCTCTTTCTTCTGCTTTCCGACTATATACGCTAGGTGCACAGCTATTCGTGTGGTTGGATTAAGTTCTAAACTTGTTGGCTAAGATAAATGTAGATACATATCTATAAAGGTAATTGCCTTCTTTTGTATTATCGTTAGGGTTAGTTTCGGTATATCGTATGTGAGATCCTTGCTAGCTTAAGTTGTTTTTTGTGTTCGTTTTTGTTTTTTTTTTTTTGGTTTCTTTGAAGGGGGGATTAAATGATATGGTGGCAAGAACAAGAACTGTTTACATGGAGGAACCAAAAAACAATATTTCAATATTTGAAAGCAACGCTTAGATTTTTATTATTACACAATTTCTTTTCGCTTGCTCTTCTTCTTCTGCTCTTGCTTCATTTTCATTTCTCTCTGTATTATTTATTCTTGTTGATTTTTTCTGCTTTTCTGCTCTTCTGCGTTTTTGCACAATTTCCATTTAAAAAATAAATAAAACTTATTGAAAATTTGTAAAGAATTGCTTAAACATAAATTTTGCTTGATTGAAAATAAAAATAAAAATTAAAAAAAAAATTAAACAAATTGTTTCAAAACTTTTTATGCAATATTTGTAAATAATTAAATGACTTTTTCAGCGTGTTTTCCTTTTTTTTTTCGTTTTTTTTTTATATAAAATTTTATTTGATTTCTCTTTTGTTTTCACTTTGCTTTTTTAGGTTTTTCCTTTTTTTTTCTTGGTTTTTTTCTTTTGTTATTTGTTAGCTTAGAGCGCTAGGTATGCAGGTAAAGGTAACTCAATGTTTAACAAATAAAATTAATAAAACTTAACTAAAACTGTAAATAGTAATATAATCATAATAATAATCATAATAATAATAATAATTATGCATATACGATTTAAGATCTTGCAAAATCACACCAAACAAATTAGTTAAAACAAAATTAGATTAGCATAGAAAATGTTGAAAATTGTGAAAAATCTTTTGCAAAAATTGTCAACTGGTTTAGGCCAAGGGAAAAGGCAGAAAGCAGAGTGTGAGGGGGAGGGGGAGGGGGGAGGGGGTTTCTTAGTTATAGCATAGAAAAGTTTGAAGCATATCTCTTCTTAATTTTTTAAATTTCTGCTGCTGCTTCTTCCTCTCTATATTATTTTAGTTATCAACAAATAACAAAATCAATTATAAAATAATAGTTTTCTTTTCGCATAACTGATTTCATAATAATATTTTAAGAAAATCATAATAGTTCGCTTAGACTAAAAGCTGCCTGGAGCTGGGGCAACTGAGGAGGGAAGTTCTTTTGCTTGTTTTCTAAATGTTTCTTTTTTGTTTTTTTTTTATCGTAAGTTCATCTTCCTCTTGTTTATCATAGAAAAACATTAATGTTTGTTTACAATTAACCTTTTTTTTTTAGTTTTAGTTTTTTTTTCTTGTGTCAAATTTGAGGAGTAGGCAACGAAATTATTTACATATGTATGCACGATTTTTTTTTTTTGCTTAAAAGGTTTTCAGAGAAGGAGGCCAAAAAATTACCTAAGAAAACTTAACGAAAACTAGCTAAAAACTTAGAAATTGGTGCGCTGAAAATATATATATATATATGTCTATATAAATCTGTATTTAACTTTGTTTTTTTGTTTTTTTTTTTTTTGTTTTGTTTTAGGTTCTTGCGTAAAAACTAATAACAAAAGAGGCTAGGTAAAAAGTAACAATTCTACGTAATAGGGTAATTGGGTTAAGATCCTAACTTGGCTAACGTCGGATCGTTAAGCGGTTGAGGAGCAGCTAACGGTACGCACAGGGTTGCCACTGCGATAGACAAACCACGGCAAACGCTATCGATAACTCGAGCTATCGATAAGTGTGGTGAGAGACTTTTTTAGTCGGCGTTCTGAAATTGGTTTTCTTTTGTTTGTTGTTGTTTTTGTTTGTTTTTAAGCTACACTAAAAATTTAAGTTGTTTTTTGTTTACTTCTTTCATTTAGTTAATTTGCGTTTAGCTTTACGTTAAGTTTAAAATAAATATGCGGTACAGGCCGCAGCTTACAAATGTGTGTGTGTGTGTGTGCGAGTGTGTGTAGATGTGAGTGTGTGTAGATGTGAGTGTGTGTGTGTGTGTGTGGATGTGTCTGCTTATCATACATATATAACTTGTTTAATTACATATATATAAATTTATATATATTGCATATATGTGTAGTTTTTGTAGTGTATTTTCTTTCATGTCTGTTTACTAAAAATTATTAGTATTTATCATTTATCAATTATCGATAACTGAATTATTATCATTATCATTAAAATGTAATGGTTGATGTGGTTACTCGTATCGCTCAAGTCACATTTCTATATTACACATCCTGGAATTTCGATAGACGTGCACGCAAGTCCATGTTCTCCTGTTTCAGCTGCTCGACCTCCTGATGTAACGTGGCATTCTAACGAGACACAGAGAGAGAGAGAGAGATGGTTAATCGATTGATCGATCGATCAACTTATCGACTTATCGATACTCACTTCCTTCTCCAAGTAGCGAGCACGCATCGCAATCTGATTCTCCTTTTGGCGGCGCGCATCCCTCGACCTCTTGGCGGCAATATTGTTCTTTCGTCTGCGGGCCCAGTACTTGTCGTCCTTGAGCTCATCTGGAACAAATTGTTTGCGTGACTTTTTAATCATCGGCTGCGGTTTGAGCTCTTCATCGGAGAATGCTCTGGTGCGCGGATCAAAGTCACGCCCCGACGATGCGAATGAAAATGCTGGAATATCAAATACTAAATGTTAACAATGTTTCACAGACTGTTCGTGCTATAAATTAAATCATAAAAAATGCACTCGCAACTTTTCAGATAAACGAAATCGAAACAATCAAAAGAAGTTACAAAAAAAAAATCAAATAAATAGAAATAGAAAAGAAAATAGAGAAATGAAAGTAGACGAAAAGGAAATAAAAAATTTGCCTCGAATCGCACAAATTGGAATGTAATTCAGCCTTTAACATTTAGCATTTGATAAGACATGAGCAAAAACATTTTCTCAGTTTTTTTTTTGTTTAGTTTTTCAGTTTTTCATGGGTTTTCTTTTTGTTTGAATCGGTTATTCGCTAGATGAAAAAGTTGTATGTGTTTTATGTGTAGGTAAATCAAAATCATATTCAATATAATATATTGTAAATCGAAAAGTTAATTAGGCGCAATGTCCATTCCATTTGTGTTTTTTAAATAATTGAATTTAAAGTTAATTATTAAAAATTATGATGTGGGGGGGTCGTGGAGATTGGCATGGGACTCTCTTCCGCTCACTCTCACTCTCCCTCACTCTCTCTCTGCCTCTCTCTCTCTCTCTCGTGCTCTCACTCGCATACTCACTTGATTCGGCCGGCGATGGCGGATTTAGCGTATCGGGACTTATGCAATCCGATGGCGATGGCGATCGCTCCCGTTTCGTGGTTATGTGCCCCAGGCCCAGCGACAGACCCGCCGCATGGCTCAGTGAATCGGATCGATGGCCGAGGCCGCCGGCGTGCCCCAAATGGGTGCCGGGCAGGCTGTCGGGTATGTTGTTCTCCGACAAGAACTCGTCCAGGTCCGCATACTGCATACGAAAAGAATTTGCAAATATTGTAATGTCACGTGTGCCACAAAATGTTGCATTCAAAATTTGGCAGCAGCAGAAACAGCAAACAACAAACTCAACAATCAACACAGTCGGGCAAGTGTAGTGTAGTGTTTAATTACTTAATTACTCGCTACTAATTTAATTACTTCCATTGGGCAGACACTTGAGGCGTCTTACAATTACTCAAGTAATTACAGGTTTAATTAAAATTCAATTATTGAATGTATTTTCAGATAATTAAATAAAAAGAAAATAACTTTTTTAATTATCAATAGTTTAATTGAAATACATTATTCAAGGCTATTACAGGTAAATTAATTAAATTCAATAATTGCAGGTTATTAAATTAATTATAATTTTTTTTATGAAATTCCCGGTAATTGAATTAAGTTAATTTCATATAAGCTTTAATTCTTTCATATCAAAAGCACAATAACTCAAGTAATTACTTATTTACACTTTTTGGGCATAATTACTCAATTAATTAGATAAAAAGTAATTAATGTACTTAAGTTTTCAATTTTAATTTTTCTAAAAAGAGATGAACTTTAGTTTAATTAATTTTTTGGATAAAATTACTCAAGTAATTAAAACGCCCAACTACAAATACTTAAGTAATTACACATTCTGTGCATAATTACGCGAGTAATTAAATGCAATGGTGCAAAGATAGCTTTTATTATATCTTTTAGTTGGGGATTTCTACTTTAAAGGCGTATTTACTCAAGTAATTTCAGTACCCACAAATAATTCCCCAAGTAATTACATTTTCAAGCAAGTAATTAAGTAATTAAACCTCTTTGGCACAGCTTATAAAGCATTAATCCCACTTCAAATATGTTCTTTTGCCTAAATGCTCTAATTACTGAAGTTATTGTGTGGGTAATTAAGAAGTAATTAAATATCGCATGTAATTATTGCAGCTCTTGTGTAGGGTGTAATTAAATTGGTTGTGTTAGTCAATTTGCGATGGAAACAAACTGTACAGTATTTATACAATATGATGAGAATACAATTCTCGCACTACGTAAAGCACCAAAACTCGTGTTAATTTCGGGTGTGTGCCAGCGTGTGTGTGTGTGTGTCTGTGTGTGTGTATGTTCAACTGTTTCGCTTGTTGCGTGTGTGTGGAAGGGGAAAGTGTAATTGGGTAGGTGGGGGGGTGTAATAAAAACAGACGCAGCCACTACGCAGCGATGAATATGATACTAACTTGTGTTACCTTGAGGTCAGCATCGTAGGGCAAGGTTTTGTCCCACAAATTTGGGCCGAGAAATGCCGTTTGGGCCTCAACATTCCAAATGTCGCCCTCCTCTTTGTATTTATCATCCGGGCAGATGATTTCTTTGCTATTCGATGTGGATTTGCCTGCAAAGAGAAAACACACAAATGTATTAAATATATACTTTATATATGTTGTTTATAGACGTGAACATTTTGAATGCTAACCAAGGGCAAAGTTAATAGTTTTAATACAGTTTTTTTTTGTTTTTTGCCCAACAAATTAATCACAGGCTGACGACGACAAATGCAGCTGATAAGGTTTAGTGTTTTTCCAATAAAATAGTTTTTGCAATCATTTGTAGAGTAGCTTTGTTTTATATTCAAGTGCACATAGTAAATGATAAGGGCCTGAGCACTACTTGGCCAGCTGTCTGTAAAGTGGGTCAAAACAGCGTCTCCAACAAACGCAAACAGCACACATATAAACACATATATTATCAAACACATACATACATATGTATATTTAGAGCTGGGCAATTCTTTTTGGCAAACTGCCCAAAAGAAAGGAGAAACAAAGTAAGTAGAAGAAAAATGCTCACAATTTCCGCATGCGCTTCGAACGGCAAACGAAACACAGCCGAAAACAAACACAAGCCGCCAGAGCGAGACAGCTAAACAAGTCAGGCAAAACCAACAAACCAAAAGCAAACAAAAGAGGAAGCAGCTTAGCTGGCAGGCAGGCAGCGCAGTCAGCAGCGCAGTCAGCAGCAGCTAAAAGCGAAAGTGAAATTTCAGCTTTCAACAGATTTGTATCGTTGCTCTGCGCGCTCGCGACGCACTCAAAAAAAGCTTTACTCAGCTGACGCTGCGCAGGCGCAGCTGAGCGTACTTTTGCTGCTGCCGTTGACTGCGCTGCTGCTGCGACGGCGACGGCGGCTGTCACTGTTAAGCATTAGGCGAAGCGCTCTTTGATTTCTTGCAAACGAGTTTGGCCGCAGTCTGCGCCGACGCCGTCGCCGTCGCCGTCGCCGTCGCCGTCGGCAGAAACCAGTTGTCGTCGTGCAGCGCGTTGTTGTTGTTGTTGCTTTTTTCTTGCTTTTTTTTTTTGTTGGTTTCGCTTGCATTAGTTTCCGCTTTCTTATTCACTCTCACTTTCATTTGCGAAGTTTTTACTGTTGCTTTTTAGGCGAACGGGCAACTATTGCGAAATTTTATGCCATGTTGCGACGGCGACGTCGACGGCGACCACATTTCTGGTCTGTGGCAGTGAAGTAATATTTTCTTTTCTTTTCATTGCTTTTCTTTACAAGTTGTTGTTGGTGTTTTTTTTTTTATGCCGCTGGCAGCGAAGCGTAAGTGAAAAGTGCGCAAGTGTTTGTTGCATGTGAATTGTGAAGTAATAGCAACAAATCAGGCGGCACACACACACACACACACACACATACACAAAATTAGGACTTGCAAATCTGCAAGCGGGCCAACGCGGCGTATGAACAACTTTTAATTTGGCTTTTTAATTAGACATTTGCATTTGATATTTGGTGGGGTTTTTTTTTTAACGCTCGGATTTATGTTTTTGGGAAATTTGTACATGCGGTACTTTTGGCTTTATATCAACAGAGCGAGAGAGGGAGAGAGAGATAGAGAGAGGGAAATTAACAGCCGAAAAATGGAGTTGATGCAAGTGCAAAAAGGATGCAAGTGAAAAATTAATATAAACTGTACTTTATGAAAAAAACTCAATTACTAATAATTAAAAGTAATAAAAAGCAACAAAACTCAAAACACAAGACAAAATTTGCGTGCGGCAAAACAAAAGAACAACAACATAAATGAAAAAAAAAAAAAAACAGAAAAACAAAAATTTACCGTTTGCTTTGCAAATGAAACCCAAAAATGGAGATTTCCTGCCTGTAAGAACAGAAGAAAAATGAAAGATAGAAAGAAGAGCAAATACAATATTTAAAACTAGTGTGAAACGCAACGGAACGAAACGAAAACGAAATGAAATGGAATGAAATGTATGAGAAAACAGACGCACAGAAAATGTAGCTAAGCGGGGCGCGGCGCAAGCTGTGCGTGTGAGATATATTTGTATCTTTTTGCGTGCGAGATACTTTTGTATCTTTTTGCGTGCGAGATACTTTTGTATCTTTTTGCGTGCGAGATACTTTTGTATCTTTTTGCGCGCAAGATACATTTGTATCTTTTTGCGTGCGAGATACTTTTGTATCTTTTTGCGCGCGCAACTTGTATCTTGAATGTCACTTTCACTGCGAACTCTCAGGCAACAGGAGCAACAGAATCTGGCGCAGGGTTTATTTTTAGCACAACGTTGCGTCGATCGGCCCGGCTTTGGCTTTGGCTTTTGGCTCGGTTTCGTTTACGGTTTCTCTTGCCAATTTAAGTGGGTCAACGATGCGTCAATGTTGCGGCTGTTTTTGCTGTTGTTGTTGTTTCTTTTTTTAGGTTTTTTTTGGGGGCCCAGCAACAAAGCGCGCTGCGTTTTGTAGTCCGCGCACTTTTTATGAACTTTTTTTTCGAGTTTCTCGTTTGTAATTAAAATAATTTGCATAAATTTCGTGTCTCTTTTTTGCATTCGGTTTCCGTTGCTTTTTTTTTTTGTGTGTGTGTTTTTTTTTTTGGTAACAGTTTCATTGGAAAAGGCGCTGTTAACTTATCTTAAGCCAGGCCTACGACAACAAAATTTATGCTGTTTCTTGGGTGAAAATAAATTCATTTACTTTTTTTTTTTTTTTTGGGTCCATAATTTGTTACTGTTTTGTGCGCGTCGCTGTCCGCTATTATTATTAATATTATTTCTATAAATTGTTAGCCTCTGGCCTGTGCCTTTGTTGTGTTAATGGACAGCGCGAGCTGGTCACCATTTGATGTAGGTTTTTTTTGTTTTTTTATTATTATTTTAATGCCGCATTAAACTTTCACTTTTACTGTTTCCATTTAGTACGAAGCTGCGCGAGTTTTGAGAAACATGTGACAGCCGTGGACTTTTAACTGGTTGGACATAGATTTATGTGGCCCAAAGCTGGCCAAAAAATGCAAATCGAAGACAACAATCAAAGTATTTCATAAATTAATTAATTAAAGTAATACTTTGTAAATATGCCCCAATTCTCTTAAGTAAGCCTTAAAGTATTTTGTAAATTAATTAATTAATTAATAAAATCCAAAAGTTGGCATTTAGCTTTGTTTAACGTGATTTCGTTTATATCCGTTTCCAAGCAATAAAATCGACTGCCCTTACAGCGAACCCAGCCGCCCCTCCCCCTCCCCCATGCAGCTACCAACGCTGACTGCATTTTAAAGCAGGCCTCGCATTAAAATGAAAGTGAGAGTAAAATCTCCTGCAAGCAGCAACAACAAAAACAACAACAGCCCGAACAAGTCGCTGCGGATGAACAGCAAAGATAAAATTAAAAGAAAAGAAAAAAAAACCCCGAAAAACCCAACCAAATTGAATGAAAACCGGTTGCCAAAGTCACAAGCCAAATGCAAAAGAAGAGAAAAGAAAGAAAGAAAGAGAACAACAGCAACAACAACAAGAAGAAGACGAAGAAGAAGCAGCGAATTCTAAGCACGCAAATGTAGAACAAAAGCGCGACCAGAGACCCCGACATTGACATCCAAGTGGGTTTACATAGTGTGTGTGTGTGTGTGTGTAGAAGTATTTTTAGAAGTGAGTATGTGTGTGTGTGTGTGTGTGTGTGTGTGTGTGTGACTTTTTCAGCACACTTTCAGCTAGTTTTGCAGCAGCTCGTACGGTTGGTTATGCAATGCATGTGTATTATTTCTTTTCGCTTTCGGAGTCCAGCTCAACAATTGAGACAACGCGGGGCACGTACAGCGCACGCCCCTTTCACCTGTCTCAACGGGGCTGTCGCTGTCGCCGTCGCCGTTGGCGTTCGCGTCGCTGTTGGCGCATGCGTCGCGTCGCGTCGCGTCGATGGCGCAATTGCGGTAATTTTTAACTGCAATGTTACTGTTGTTGTTGCTGATGTTGTTGCTGTTGCTGTTATCGCTGCTGTTGTTGCTGTTGCTGTTATTGCTGCTGTTGTTGTTGTTGCTGTTGTTGCTGCTGTTGTTGTTGTTGCTTGTGCCTTGCTGTATTACATGGCACTCGTTTATGGCTCTGCTGGCTCTTGTTTTGTTTGACTGCCTTTTGCTGAAGTGCAGAAAGTGTAACACTTTCGATTGTTGTGCTGTCTCTAGTTGTTGTTGTTGTAACTGTGATTGTGGCTGTTGTTGTTGTTGCTGTGCATTGCATTCATTCCGCATTCGCGCTCATTTGCATAGCGCTTGTGTGTTTTTTTTTGATGTAGCACTTTTATGTTTAATTTCTGTTTTAGTTTACCTTCTTTTTTTTTCGCTGTGCACAAAATTAATTATGTGTGGGAAAATGTGTTGGCCACATTTGATTTCCGGGCTTGTTAGCATAAAAAGCGCTTTTGTCATGGCCCAAACCAAAGCTCGGGCAGCCCAGGTTCGCCTCTGGGCACTTGGCACTATAAAATTTGTCTCTTTGGTTAACTTTTAATTGCGCGGCTTTTTTTTTTTTTGCCAAACTTTTGCCTGGCATTTGCAAAGCTAATACGAATGTAATTTTCCTAACGGCATTTCGATTAGCGTTCGCTTTCTTTTGTATTATTTTCGAAATGTTCAATTTTATTTTGAAGCTGTTGCGATACCCTGTAGATTTCATTTGTTATTTTATGTAATTTGCAGAACCTCAAATAGCAAGAGTATTTATTTAGTAACACTTTTATGTTAATATGTTTACATAGTTTATATTCGCAGATAAGATTTCAAACTTAAGCTCTTCTTCACGATGTTATACCTCTTTTTTATATTTGATCCATTCCCTATGTCCCAATGCGTGCCTCTATCTGTCTCTTCCTGTCTCCCTCTTTCTTTGCTTTTCATTCTGCTGCTGAGAATCGCATAGAGCGTCGATGTTATTTAACAGTAGGGAACTACATTACTGTCATAGCTGATTCTTCTCCATTAAATGTTCTCCCACTTTTTCTTACTCTCTCTCCCTTTAGCTAGTTTTCATTCATTTCCTCTATTTAAGTCTCTTTTACTCTTACTACTCTACTTGCCAGAGATTTGTTTTAGGTAACATTAGTTAAAGAATCGTTTCTAACTAGCTAGATTTGATTCATAAGCACGAAAATTCTTCACCTGATGGCAAATTGACTTTAAAACCATTAAAAGGCGAACATGACAGCGATGTTGCAATAGTTTAATTGCAAAACTGGAAAACTGTGAAACTGTTACAAAGCGAAAGTAAAAATAATGTTCACGCCACGCCCATTGCATTGAGGACACGATTTGTAACATACTTGCCGGAGACACGGATTGACAAAGCGAACGAGAGAGAGAGAGAGAGGGTTAGATGAATGCCTCTCTTTCTCTATTTTATGTCTACCCCCAACATTAGCCGCAATTTGTTGTTGCTGTTGAGTGAAAGAAAGCCGCCGGCGTCGTGCAGTTAATTAGCCAAAATAAGGAAGCAGACTATAATGATAATCATAGCCGGGCATATCGCGAGCGCTATAAAATTACAGCCCCATAAAACAGTAAATAAAAGACAGAGAGGGAAAAAAAGCAAGCAGACACCGAAACCCAAATACAACTTAAAAAATTGGCTACAAATATGCGGGGCACGCAGGCGCGGGGCGTGGCTATAAAACGTAATCAAAAAAAAAAAAAAAAAACAAGATATTCAATCAACACAAAAGTGTGTAAAAAATCAACTGAAAAGCGCTTCTGGTCTTTTTGGCAGCGACAAAGCGACAGACGAGACAGGCGGGACGACGACGTGTGAAATGCTAACAAAAAAAAGATTGCTCATACGCCGCGTGGTGCGTTTGGGCATTCGGTCTGTCGCTTCGGGCCGTCACTTTCACTGATATTTTCCAAGCGAACGTTTGTTGTTTCTCACCTGAACACTAAACGATGCCGCATTTTGCACGTTTCTCGCAGCCACGATTGCGCAACAACAGTTGCTGCTGTCCCCGGGACAACAGCAACAGCAATTGCAGGCGGCGGCAGCAATCAGTGCAGTTAGCAAGATGGGTAGCTCGTGTTTTGGCTCGAGCTCGGACTCGGGCTTGGGCTTGTTGCCTTTTGATTGAACGTAACTGTAATACGTTGCATTTTGGCAGTACGTTCAGCGTATCTGGGTGAGTGTGTGACGACGTCGACTGCGCCGCCAAGCCAATTAACCAATTTGTCATGTCTGCTGCGGCACATGCGCGAAATGCATTTCAAATTTTGTTGGATAAACGCGTTTTGCGGCCAACAGCACGCAAGGAAGTTGCCGTCGAACGATTATTGTGCTCAAATTTTACACTCACTCTTCGCAACTCTGTTAATCAGCAAAAAGCGCTTAATTCTAGACAGAAGCAGAGCAGAAGAAGACACACGACACGAGCCGAACGTGTACTTGGCCAGCAAAATGTTTCAATTCATGAATCGCATATTTCACAGCTTTAGATTAGCCCAGCAACTCGCAGGTTCAGTACGAAATATGAATACGAATGACAATAAAAACAAAGAAAATAAATAAAATAGTAATAATAATAATAATAATAATGTCCCATTATAAGCCAGGGTCTTACAAGAAAAGCTCTAACAAAAAAAAAATAGACAAAATATGCAATAAATATTAAAAAATAATGGAGATAATTAAGGTTTTGGTCTCTTACAAATTGGGGCTCTTTGAGAAATTTCCAACATAATAATAAACAAATAAATATAATAATTAAATAATAATTACTTAGACACGCCCTAAAAGTACGCCTACGACATTTTTGCAGGTACACATTATGAAATTGTCTTCTTCTATATTCGAAGTTCTCTTATCTTCAGTAAATGAATTATATGAA